TCTGTTACACCCAGAGTATCAAGGTCAGTTATTCGGTATCCCAGACTGGCTTCCAGTGTGGAGAACCCACCGCTGGTGTCGGCACATGCAGCTGGCATCCCTAAACCAGCGCTCTCAAGCCCTCCAGCTTCTGAACTATTTCCCCTCTCTGTAGCGCTTCCCACAATGGGGATCGCTTTATGGTGCATCTGGGCCGCGTACTCCACCGCCGATTTGCTAGAGGCAGCGGCACCGGCTACAACATCTCCAGAGGTGGCGGCTTACGCTGCAGAACCTCCCGAGGTAGCGGTGTCTGCTGCTGTGCTCCCAGAGGCCATGGAACCCACTGCAGTCTCTTCAGAGGTGGCGGCGCATGCTGCAGAACCTCCCGAGATGGCGACACTTGCCTCAGTTCCTTGCGTGGTTGTTCCCTCATTGTTCCATGTAGTTTCATGGTAAATACAATATTTGTGGGCTGTAAATTAAAGTGGTGCTTTGTTCCCCCATTGTTCGATGTAATTACAGGGTAAATACAACAATTGCGGGTTGTAAATTAAAGTGGTGCTTTGTTCCCCCATTGTTCCATGTAGTTACAGGGTAAATACAACAATTGCGGGCTGTAAATGAAAGTGGTGCTTTGTTCCTCCCCTGTTCCATGTAGTTACAAGGTAAATACAACATTTGTGGGCTTTAAATTAAAGTGGTGCTTTGTTCCCCCCCTGTTCCATGTAGTTACAGTGTAAATACAACATTTGTCGGCTGTAAATTAAAGTGGTGCTTTGTTCCCCCCTTGTTCCATGTAATTACAGGGTAAGTGGCTACAACAAATTGCTCTGAAACGATTGTTTATACAGTAGGTCATACATACATACATTATATATCAGGTAATGTATCAATAAACATGGTGGACTGTTTTATTTAATTCAAATATTCTTTGCCTGTTCAGAAAAAAAGCAAAGCAACTCCATACTTATACAGATTATACAGTTAAACCAAATTCTTTTGAAAAGCTTGTTTAAGAATAGATTTTGTTCAATTTGTTCATGTTTTTCACCCACTGACTTAATAACTAGTTGATTAACTAGTAATGACTAGTTAAACTATTTTGGCCAAACCATCACGCCAATAAACACACATTAATAAACACTTAAAGTCAAGATTAAACTGTATATTATAGCAAACTGACAGGATTTTACCGTCTTTGATTTACCGTTTTGATCCACGTCCTCAAGCACCATTTTGACTAACTTAGTTCAGTTCCCGGTTTTACCGCTTATCAGTCGCTGCTCAATGTTGTGAGAACATACTCGACAAAACCCTCCAGTTTTAAAAGAACACATTCCAGTCAGTTTCAAAAATCTCTCTCCTCTTCGTGTCGATTAGTTTTCTTGTATTTTCTACACATATCCCTGTCATGAGCGCCACAAACACAGATAGACTCATCTCATGCACCATTCCAGCTGTTTCCAGTTCACACTCACCACATTCACTGCTGCAGTTTTAAAGAAACACACTCCAGACAGTTTCAAAGTTGTCCCTTGTCTGCGCTTCGATTAGTTTTCTCCTATTTTCCACACATGTTCCCGTCTTAAGCACCGCAGTCACGGATTTCGTTGCACACAGAGCCGTTCACGTTTGAACTCACGTGACTTGCTGCATGCTCTCATTCACGTTCTCCACATTCATAACCCAGCAACGTCGGGTTACTTATTACTGATATCAACCCAAATTGGGTCAAATCAAGTCAGCTTCCTAACCCAACAGTCTCAACCGAGCGTTTGGATTGAAACAATTACCATCTTGTTTTATATGTGTAGGCAGGGCCGTTTCTAGGCATAGAAACCAGCTGAAGGGGCGCCAATGAGTGCACGTACTGGCACTTTTAGCAGGGTTGTGATAAAGAGTAGCATGGTCACCCTGAAATATGACTGCCGCCCCCACTGGATTCCCCAACATTACTGGGCTAGAATACTGTCAAACTGACGATGCCTGTATGCCACTAGATCAGAGTGCTGTCAATTGTTGCATGCAAAGTTTGCATTTGGAGCGCTCAGCAACGCCATTAGATCAGTGGGCTCTGTCAGTGCTTTGGCAAGGTAACACTTTTTTTTGCCATACAATAAAGCTAAGTTCAAAGGCCAATTTAAAATATTGATACAGTAAATAAAGTGCACAAAATCAGTACTTTGTTTAGGCAGTATTTGTAACACTTTTGTGGCACATTTGTCCAAATATTTGTGGCAGATTTGTCCAAAAGGTGTGCGTTTTTTGCGCCAATGCATTGTTAAAGGATCAGCGTGTCATGTAATATTCCCATATAAACTTTAACATCCAATTAAAAAATATTTGTATAGTAAAATTCGCTAATTCACGAGATCAATACATCCTTTATTAGACCGCTTTGTCGCGTTAAATGCATCCTTACGGAGGTGTCAAAATGCTGAATCAATTCATTCACTTCCAACAGCGCTTAATGGGAGCAGCGTCATAGAGGGCAGAGCGTCACGTTATTTAAAGGGGAAGTTAACACGTTAACGAGTAGCAAATGATTAAGTAGCTGCATTGGTTACTTTTATGCCACTGATAAAGCTTTTATATGTAGTTTGGGGTAACA